ACACACACACACACACACACACACACACACACACACACACACACAAACACACACACAAATTTGCTCAAATTGTGAATAAAGGAAACGATTAGCGGCGGGGTCACAGTGGGGCTGGTGCTATGTCTTACAGGTCAGAGGAAACAGCTCCCAGTAATCATCGAGATGACCAACAAAAAAAAAGCATTGGGAACATTGTAAAACCAATATTCCAACGTGCTCCTAACCCATGCATATGTGGTACACAGCTAACTTTCTTACAAATGAGATACTGTATCCTCCTCAGCCTGGGTTGGCCTTGACAGGCAGGGTCGGAAGCCTGCTTCCTAAATGAAATAAGTATTATCGATGGGGCCATGAAACACCTACTTATAAAAATAATTGGTCGCTTTTAAGCACAAGGGGGCTATCCCGAAAAATGCTGTTTTGAGAAAATTGAAGGTACAGTTTTTGCCCCTTGTTCAGTTTCTTTAAAAGACAAGGACTGTTTTCTCTATAAGCAAACAAAATAAATATACACGTCTATGAAACAAAACATCTCCTATTGGTAGGACAATGCCCACTTTTGGTGTAGGTCAAGATTTCTGGAAACCCCCGAAATCTGGGTTAGCCTGCTTGTCCTTGAAAGCGACCAATTTTAATTACCTGATTGAGTGTAGACAATGTATTAAATTGTGAGGCAACGTGGTGGAATCAGGCTCTCGTCAAAATAATTAAAGTGAAGAAACTTGCCTTTTTCTGCAGGTTTGGGAATTTTTATCAAATTTTTGTTTTTTGGTTCGACACCTTTCAAGGCCATTAGAGAACTGAAAAGCGTTGATGAAAGGCACAAAAATGTAAATTTTCAGTTACCACGGACTCTTAAGCTAAGGAAATAACTAATTTTTGTGGGCTATTTTCTCACTAATTTTACCTCTGAAAACAGGTGACCCCCACCTCCTTCTTTCGCAAATATCTCGACTTGTATTCAAGATAAATGGATATTTTTTTCCATCCAAATAAAGCCAAGTGAACAAGCTTTAAGATGATACCAATAACTCTACATGCCCAAATATTGACGAGAGCCTGATTCCACCACGCTGCCTCACATATGCGTATACATTGTGTGAGAGTGAGTTGTGTTTGGGGGCATGCTTTTGCGTTGATTCCTTCTTGTGATGCGTATAATGATAAGTGTCACAATTAAAGCTAGGTGTTGCGAGAGAGTAACAAGAGAAGGACGGGCGATAAGGACGATAATTGTTTGATAGGAAAGAAGGAGCAAACCACACCAGAGCACCCGCCAACCACCAATATTTCGTTCGTGTTATTTTTGTTTTGTTTTGAGGACGCCCTTTTCGGTGGAATAGAATGAAATGTATAAATTAATTGTAAAATGTGGTTTACAAACTTTGAACCACAAGACGGGAGAAACGGGCCTGGAGTTTGACATTTGCAGACAAAGAAAGTGAAATCATGGGTTTGTTATTGCTTTTCATCTATTTTTGAGATTCCGACTTTATTCAGCACATAGTGCACGTTTGGGGATAAGATGTCTCATATACGTTCTTGCATCCATCTGAAATCAGGCTTAGTCTCGATCCGATTTTAATTTTTTTTTTTCAAAACTTTTGAAAAAGGTGGAGGGGTATCGAGCTTGGACTCTGGATTTTGGGCGATTGTTTTCGTTGTCCTCCCCAGAAAGGCTGTATGTGTGTGTGTGGGTTG